TGTGGTCATGGTTTAATAGCGCATAATTTCCTCTAGCCTAGGCAGCATTGCTTCATTTAGCAAACAATAACACCATTAGAACATTATGCCAACCATTATTCCTCGCCCTTCCAAGTTCAAGGTCAAAATGAAACAGAAAGCTGCATATATGACATCACAAATTACTTCAGTGATTATCCATGCAACTAAGAGAAGGATTAATGCAAAGTGGTAACTGGACACATATTAGAAATGAGACCATTCCTTTTATTTCTCAGTTAGTGCCTGAAGGTCCCACGCTTGACCCATAGATGTTCTGGACACATAAACTGTACCCTCACTGCAGTGCTACCACATCCAGCACTCGTACTTCCACATGAACTTGGGGTCACAAGCAGTTTCCTATCCTGCCAGTTTTAACGAGTACACACCCATCCAAACTTATGCATTACACTAAATAGCAATTCATACTTACATGTAATCCCAGAGAAGCAGGATCCACAGGGGAATTGAAAGACTTGGCCTCATCCATTTCCATTATCTTCTTAATCACCTTGAAGACAAATCCAATAACAGAGACCAAAAGAATCAATAAGTTCAGTATTGAAACATTGCCTAGAGTCTAAACTTAACAAGAAGAAAGTCCTATTATACACAAGTCAATAAATGAAAAACAATCATTAACCATAGAAATTGTCAGACATACTGCAAAGCAAGCTTTCAATTCTTCCTTGTTATATGTAGGATCGTGAGGTGGCATGTCTGTTTGTTTTCCTTTCCTAAACGTAGAATGCAACCCCTTTGATGACTTATCCTGCACATCCATAGCTTTGTTTATTACTTTCCCTTTCTTAGGAGGTCGGCCACGCTTTTTAACTGATTTTTGCACTCCCTTATCATGTGCTGGTTCATCACCACTGTCAACATGCAATGATCCATCATGTCCACTCGAAGATGATGCCGATGAGCTAGACTCTGAACCGGAATCAATTTCACCAAACTTGCCAACACAAAATTCATTAAGCCCAGTATTTTGTCCAGCATTTTGGTCGACTTCATTAAATTCAGTGTTCTGTTTGGCATTTTGGTCAACAAAGTTCAAGAACGCTTGTTCATTACTAGTCACAACAGGGGGCTTCTCTTTTGTGATTTTCTTGTTAGCACGCTTCTTCTTCCTCACCATTTTTCTTTCCCTGCCAGATAACATCCTCTCAGTTCGCATTCTTCCGGGGAAAAAAAAGAAAAAGATTCTAAAACATTATCCCAAACTTCTTACGCTACAAAAATCAAACAAAACCTATGCTAAACTAATTACCACAACAAAAATTGCTAACCTTTTTTAGCTTAAAAATTCACTCCACAAAGCTTAAAAAATTATTAATAACATCTTCACCACTTAAAATCTTTAGCTTTGTCTGCTGCTAATTAATTCTACCAAAAATCCAAATAAGAAAACAACATTATGATCAGAAATTTAAGTTCAATAACCCATAAAACAGAATAAAAATTACATTTTTACTCTTACACAAGAACAATAAAAAACAGAAACCCCAAAGAAAAGAGCTTAAACATTCAGTAATAAAAGGGTACAAAATTAAAAAAGAAAAAAATCAAAACTATTTCATTTATTCATCAAAAATTTAGCTGCTTCTTCTACAAGATCAAATCATTTCTAAATAATAAAAAAAAAACAGAGAGAGAGAGAGAGACATTACCTAGTTTGGTTTTGGTCTGAGATTGAGAGTGTCTAGGGTTTAAAAAATATGGGGGGGGTTATTTAGGGTTTAGAAACGGAAAAAAAATAGCCTGTGTGTCTGTTTGTCGCTAAAAGTACAGAGAGAGAGATTAGCGAACAGCTTTAGTGGCAGGGGTTTCGCTTTCACAGCAGGCAGTGATAAAGAAGTGTCACTTTTTGTGGAAAGCCAACGCTAGAAACTTAGAAACGTCAGAACAGGCACTCTATGTTCTTTACTATTCACTCCCTCAAACTTATAACTGCCCTCCTTTTCTTTTTCTTTTTCTTTTTTCTTTACCTTTTTCAGAATTTCTAAATTTATTTTTTGGTCATATAAATGCAAATGATCGAGACGTTTCATGGTATTTGTTCTTCAAACCAGAAAAATTCATCATTTTTTTTCTAAGATTTTGATATTTATAACCTAATTATAAAATCTTAAGTAATATGATAAATGGATCGGAGCTCTTAACTAGTTAAAATTAAAAAAATAAATAAAACTTTTAGCTGATTTAATTAAAATTCTATATTCAACTATCAATTTAGTGGATTTAATTATAATCCAATAAAAACTTAATTTTTAATTTGTTAGATTTTTTAAAAAGTATATATTTTTAATTAAATTAATTTTTTATTAAAAATAAAAAATAAACCTTTTTTATTCATGATTCTTTCTTATCTAGGGTTAGGTTTTACAATTATAATTTATAAGGTTTCTAGTATCAAATTTCAAATTATCAATGATTTTAAACTTGAAAAATACTTAAAGTCTACAAAAATAAATCATATAAATGGCATGTTTGAGATTTTAAATAGAGAAAATTAAACATATCATGGTTTATTATGAGTTATAATGGTAAAACAATGTTTTTATCCTTCAACAAAAAACCAATGAGGGTCGATTTATCATTCTAGAATCGCTAGGCAATAACTCTCTTCTTTTTTTTGTAATTTTTCATCCCAGTTAAGTTACTTGGTTATCCTTAAACCTAGGGATATTTGAATATTTTTAAAATTTTATTTTATCATGCACAATGTCATCACTTTATTGTCCTTGTACCCAAAAAAATTTAGGCTTGGATCGAAGAACATATTAGTCATTTTGTTGATACTATTCATGTGATCCTGGAATAATTTAGTAATTTAATTAATAAAAATATTAAAAAAAAAGTTGTTAGTATGTTTATAGAACACACCAACAATTAAGTTACGAAGATACTGTTTGGAAATGTGGTGTAAATTGTGTTTTTAAAAAATTTAAATTTTTTTTATTAAAATTTAATATGTTTTGGATTGTTTTGATATGCTAATATTAAAAAATTTTAAAAATTAAAAAAATATTATTAACATGTATTTTAATACAAAAATTTATTTAAAAATTAACACAACCATACTACCAAATACTCTTAAACAATTTATACAGTGGCTTGCAAAAAGAAAAAATATAACCTTTTTTAATATTTTATAATTTATCACGCATGGGGGTCTATCTTTTTAAGTGACACATGTACTTGAATTCCTCCTTCTTCTTTTTATCTTTCTTTTCTCTATATTCCTTGGTTTTCATGGTGTTGCAACATTTTAATAAACCTTCAATTTGTGTTTTTTCTAAGTATTCAATTTATATTTTTTTAATTTATATTTTTTATTTGAATTAATTCATTGGATTGAATTGTTTTTAAATTCACCTTCCATCAATTTTTTTTATTTTTTATTTGGTTTTTATTTTTTATAGTTTTTAAATTGATTGTATTTTATGATTTCATCCTTTTTTATTATATTTATATATTAAATTTTATTCCTATTCTTTTGAATGTTATTCTTGTTATCTTGATAAGTTTTTTAAATTGATATTCTTTTCCTTTTAATTTCATTTATTAATATTAAATTGAGTTTCTTGATTATTTTATGTCTAAAATTTAACGGGTTATGAATTTAAGAGATTAACTAGGTTTAAGAAATTCTCTTAGGTTCATTTGTTTTTTTTTAACTCAAGTTTTATATTTTCATCCTCTAGCATTTGATTTAATTGGATACTGAACTTCATAATTTTTTTTATATAGAATTTTCATTAATTTTAGAAGTGACCTAAATTATCTCAGATTTTTTGATTTGTCATTCTTTGTTAAATTTAGCTTTTTAAAAAATAAATTTGTTTAGAATTAAATTAAATTAATTGTTCAATATCATTTAGTATGTCATCATCTCAAGTTTTTTTTACATTTTTTAAAGGTTAGGAAAAAAATATCCAACCTACACGAGGCAAAAATTCATTTTTTTTAGATTATGTTTTTTAAGTTTCATACTTTAGCATTTAGTTTGTTTTGAGATTGGACTCTGTTATTTTTATTTTTATTTTATTTCTATATAATTTTTCATTAATTTTAAAAATAACCTGGGCTGCATCAAGTTTTTTATTTTATTGTTTTTTATTATTTTTTAATTATATTATTAAATTAATTCAGCTTAATAAATCTAGTCTGGTCAATAACCACTCGAGTCTTGAATTTTCCTTTCTTCTTTAAAAACATTGGCATCGCTTAAATATCTTTATTTTACATTTAAAATAATTTGGTCCGAGCCACAATAGAGCACGAGCCACCTATCTAAATTTTACATTTAAAACAATTTGGTCCGAGCCAAAACATAGCACGAGCAACCTATTTAGATTTATTTGAATTAATTTTTATTAATTTTTTAATTAAATATTTGTTTCATTTTAGACCTTCAATATTTAGTAAATTAGAATTAGAATTTCTAAGTGATCTTGATTTAAATTTCAAGGGGTTATCATGAGCTATATCCCTCTATATCACATTGGGTCAAACATTGTTGGTTAAAGTTGATTTAATTTATTATAATATTATTTTTTTTAAAAAAAAATATCATCCATACCAACTCAATATTTTAAAAGTATTTTGTCCATTAAACATTAAGATTTTAATTCCCCCATGTCCTTATAATTTTTTTAGGTTAATTATAAAAAAAACCTAGTAACTAGTTATGGACAGCACCCATAAATTAATATTTAAAGCACCTAAAAGAGTATTTGATTAATTTTTCATGTACTTTAAAAACAAAATGATTAATAAGCACCATAACATATTGAAAATATAAACATTTTTTTAATGAGAAAAGTTAAACTTTATCATGTGCAAGTATAAGGTAACACACAGCTAGAAACAGTGAAAAACTAACAAAAAGATAGTAGAAAACACGATAACTCTTTGAAAATAGATTAGATGCAATCAAACATATAAATATAATACAAGGATATCTGAAGCCATAGATATTATATATTTAAAGAAAGTATCAAATATCAATGCTTCAATACTCCCCATCCCTTAATTTATTTCTGCATTATATCTAATTTTCCACTATGAAAGTGACCTTTGATCTAAGTGCATAAACACTGCAAGGCAATTTGAGATTTTTGTTTCAAAAACAAGAAGAAAAACTTCAAGTAAAGCGACATGTACAGTACTGTTGTTAACAGGATAGTTTTTCAAACCAAAACATTAGAAGAGGTTGGATTGAGGGGGGAGTTTAGATAGCAAAGCAAACTTTCGCAGATAAAAATGGATCCAGATAGAATTGAAACGAAAATGCACTTTCCTTTTCTTTCTGAACTTCTTGAAAAACCAAGCACGTACACATTACAATTTTTCAAAATGGTTCTGCGACAGAAGGTAGATTGTATGTTTCTTCATGTTCAGAATAATTTCTTTGAAACCCCATGTTTTTATAGTCGTTTAGCTGGGGAGAAAAGCAAGAAAATTTAGTCCAAAGTTCATGAAAGAAATCAACAGATCATCTCTCAGGTTGGAAGCAACTCCAGATTAAACCTGTCATCCAGCTGAAGTAAAGGTGCATGTTGAAGTAATATGAACACGGGGCCTTTAAATATTGAGACCAAGCACAACACGAGATAAGATCAGTTGTATCTATCCTGTATTTATTGCTACATTATCATCCACTACTGTGCGTTTTTCCTTTTCCTTAATTTCCTTTAACAGGTTTTCTGTATCCACGCTTCTTCGCCCTTGCCACTCCCTATTTCTTTCTTCTATTTATACAACATTATCCATATTAGCTTGCTCTACAATGAGCACCATAACGGGCTGAGAAATTTACAAGAACAAGAAATCAAGTGAATTTAGGACTTCCAAAAGGAACCCAAAACAGAGAATACTCATTAGATTAGCGGGTTCATTTCTAAACAACAAATAAAGTAAAAAATACATATATATTTTGCGATGGGTTTTTCGAGTACTCGTCAAAGCTCCAAACTTTAACTTCAAGTTTCCAGTTAAGAAGGTCTGCCTCTTCATTATTCAATTCTTAGATGAGCAACATCAGAACAGCAATTAAAATTAATTATGAAATTGAAGTATAGAACGAGAGTTTTGATATATAGAGGGAAACACCTTGACTGACAACATGTTTTCTTATATAAAAAAGACTTATTACAGAGCTGGGATTAAAAAGAAGAAGAAATTGAGGATGGGAGGAAGAGGAGAAGAGTGTAACTCGGTAAGTTATAAATTAAATATTATGTTAATAAAAATGATATATTATTGTATATTTTAGCTTTTTTATTATTATTATTGTAATTTATTCATTATATATTGATGAAATATTTTTATTTTTATTTATCAATAAATACAGTGAGAAAATATTCTATCAATAAAGTTCATTGTAATCTATCAATTATATTTTTTTGTTGATATTTTTATTTATATTTGTTAATTTTTTAATAAAGTAAAAACATCTAATAAATACCATTAAAGTATCAAGAAACTAATTCCTCAACTAAAAAAAACCCTAATATAATTTATTGACATGAAAATTGATTTTTTTTGCTAGAATATAGTCTACCAACAACTTCATCTCCCTTTCATTAATGTTTGGTGACTCTTTTTCTCCACTTTTAATTGAGGGACAAAAATGTGATAAAATAAAAATTCAAACCAAAACATATATTTGTCAAATTAAAAGAACCAAAAAAATTAAAAAAATTCAAAGGAGATTTTTTTTTCAAAACTGCACCAAATACATAGTACAAAAAAAGCTATAATTTTATAATCATTGTCAATTTTGGTCCTCCCATTCTCAACTTTCTCCAAACAATAATTTTTTTTTAAATCAATTATTAGTTCATTGTTGAGATATTTTCTTAGACACCATAATAATCTTATAAAAAATAAATTAAAATAAATTTCCTAACTCAATCCCTAATTATTAATGTAATATAAAAAGATAAAATTAAGAAATTAAAAAGTTTAATAACAGGAGCACCAAAAATGAAAGGACTAAAAAAAGGAAAAACAAAACACCATGAAATCACCACTTTTTTAGGGTTTTATTTTTATTATTTTATTGTGTACTTGTTTCGTTTGCAATATGATATAGAAGAACTCCAACAACATGGGGCGAGTCACCCACGAGCAAAGCAATACACCAACTATTACGTACAAGCAAACCCTAGAAATTTGGGCACATGACATTTTCCATACTCAGGCACTAGAAGGTTCGGAAAACGCAAGTCCTCACAGCCAAGATGACGACAATGTCAATTGCCCAGGGCATTGACACTCTGTAATTATACCGAATGGATAATTATTCTATAAAACAATCCTCAAAGCTTAACGTCACGCATACAAATTGAGACTAAATTATGCATGTCTACACATGGTCACGGCGTTGAAGTCGTCAAAAAGTTTGAGCCTAACAGGAAAGCAAAGAGGAAACTCCATGGAAATCAACAACCTTTCTGGCCAAGTAATTAGTTAAACATACCTAATCCCCCTTTTATTTTTATATATACACACATAATTATCTTCAACCTTCTTCAAAATCCTTCAAAGTAGCTTCATAGATATCTTTCTGGTCTCTATATCCTCACAATTTCTCGGAGAGCTTGACGACCCAAAGAACCCAGCAACATGTCTCTTAGGCCGCGAACCACATCCTCCACCAAGCAATTATCCATACCTGAGGTATCCGCACAAAGTTCTAGCTCGACTACGAGCAACGATAACAGTAACAACGTGCAGCCTGAGACTCCAAAATCCCCATCAAGACCACCCACCTTGTCTCAACGTGCAATCTCGCAAACCCTAACAAGCACAGCCAACCTAGCCAACCTTCTTCCTACAGGAACCCTCTTAGCCTTCCAGCTTCTCACCCCATTCTTTACCAACAACGGTGCTTGTGATTCTGCCACACGCCCAATGACTCTAATCCTCCTTGCTCTTCTCGCCCTTTCTTGTTTTCTTGCTTCCTTCACGGATAGCGTGAGGTCACCAACGGATGGAAGAGTTTACTATGGTCTTGCAAGCTTTAAAGGGATGTATCTGTTTGACTGCCCTGATCCTGCTGCTTCAGGCTTGGTTGATCTGAGCAAGTTCAAGATGAGGTTCATCGACGTGGTTCACGCAGTTTTATCAGTGCTCGTGTTTATTTCTGTGGCTCTGAGGGACAAGAATGTTTTGAGCTGCTTTTATCCTATGCCTAAACATGAGACTCAGGAGGTTTTGAGTATTGTCCCAGTTGGGGTTGGTCTCATCTGCAGCTTGTTGTTTGTGGTTTTCCCTACCAGAAGGCATGGGAGCGGCTACCCCGTCGTGCAAGGCAAATAATTGCAGCTAGTCCTTTGTATCATATGATCTCTTCAATTTAATTTGTAATATTTCTTAGATTTCTTTTTTTGCTATTATTCTTTTTTTAAAAAAAAAATAATTGTTGTTGAACATTCACTTGCATTATTTTAATTTTTACATATATAGAAATTAATGGGAAGGTAATGAGATTAATTCAATTCATTGTTAACCAGAAAATTATCTTAGCTTATATTTTTGTTGTACAATTAATAATACATTGGTGTTGACCCAATGTACTTGATTGAATCGAACCTAATTATCTTAATTAAAAATTAATTTTATTTTTTTAAAGAAAATTTTAGAAAGAAATCACTTAAACTTTTTTCTTTTTAAAAAATCTTAATTAAAAAATTAATTCAATTCATTGTTAACCAGAAAATGATCTTGCGCTTATATTTTTGTTGTACAACTAATAACATATCGGTGTTGACCTAATGAACCTGATTGAATCAATCCTAATCATCTTAATTAAAAATTAATTTTATTTTTCTAAAGAAAATTTTAAAAAGAAATCACTTTAACTTTTTTCTTTTAAAAAAATCCTACTCTGATTTAGATCAATCTCGTGATTTAAATTTTGAATAGAATAATGAGTGGTTTAATAATAGTATTATCATATGCAACTCCCTAAAAAAAAATTGAACCCAAAAATAAATTAATTAAAAGAACATATGGCTGCGTGGACTTTGATTGAAAAAAAATTAATTATATAATGCATAGCAGTACAACAAAGAATATGTCAATAATGCCTTTTTTTTTGGGTAATTGGATGATGACGTTTCATGAACAAAAAAATCATAAATTATGCTGTATTTTATTTCTTGGAATGTTTCTGTCTATGTCTCCTTTAATAAATGTGTTCCCTGTCACAACTTTATTGTATTTAAATAAGAACTACTGATATTGATTAATTATAAACACCAAATACGTGTTATATATATATATATCACAATAAATTTTATAATATGAAAAAATAAAGATTAATCTAAAATATAAAATAACTATTAATAACTAAATAAGGCCACTCAACCTTTAAACTTGTATGATATTTAGAGGTACTTTTATTATATTAATAATAACTACAGTTTAGACAATATATGTAGCCCACTATAATTATTATTGTTAATTTTTTTATGTCATTGAATTTATCCTGTGAACATTTATTTTTATGGTAATAAAGCTTCGGTGTATTTTTTAGATTTGTTTCTCTCCCCAAGTAAAATTTAAACTATATTATTTTGCTAAATTCTCAAATAGTTCTAATTTATTTTTTTTTTAAGAAAAAATGAATATTTAGTTTAGTGTGTCGGCTGGGAGACAACAATTATTTGGAAATTTCGTCGCCTGAAAAAGTCTCCATTTCAGTGTCTGGTTATGTCCAACAAAAAAAAAAAAAAATGGTAGCTCGCCGAGTCAAGGCTGACAGAGACCGGCGGCACCGCGTGCATTCAATTCGAGAATGCCGCCTCCGAAATTTCGTCCCATGACTCACGCTTGTATTTTCTTGACCAATCATCAAATTTCTTTATTGGTTTGATAGTTAATGTTTTTTATTTTAATTTTTAGGCTCTAAATCCTAGAACTAACAATCCAGTAAAGTTTATTATATTTATCACATGTTCTTAAGATTATCTAAGTGGTCTTATTAAACTAAATCTAGCATAATAGATCACCTTAATTACTCGTTAATCTAAAACTTAATTTAAAACAAAATTAGTGTGGATAATATTCTTCCATGGAATTAAAAAAATAAATAAATAAATAAATTTCCTAGCATTTTGGAAATTGGAATGGACCCACCACCGAAAAAAAGCACTTCTCTTTTCAATGAATTGTTCCTACATAAAAAGAGAATAACATCTGAAAAGATAACAGAAAAAACTGAAAGAGAATCCACCACCCATGTGCTGCTACGTGTTCACGGGCCAATCGAAATGGAAAGAAAAAGGCGGGTCCACCATCCACTTGCCAAGCACCCTCTCAGTACTCCAACTTCTACATCTTGCATCTTTGTCCTCTCTCCGGTGACATGTGCCCCGCTTTGGTAGCTTCTTTGGGATTAACAGTTAACCACCTTGTAACTGTTTAGATTTCTCTATATTAGTTGTTAGTTTAGTTAGACTTGGATTCAAGAAAACTCCCTTTATTTTTCTCCATCTTACAGTATAGTTTTCAAGAATCAATGGCAAACGTAAAGGAAGACTCGGTCTCACCAGCAGCTACAAATGACGACACGAAAAGGGCAACTGAAAGACCACTTCTAAAGAAAACAAAAGGCACATCATCATCAATATCGGATGACACTCGCTTTCCTGGCCCACTGTTTCCTTCTGTTCGCCGGACTGCTGCTCCGCCACTAATGCCATCCATTCACCACCACCACCACCACCACCACCTCAGCCCTCAGCCGTCGGATCTCCTTCTCTCCAAAGATTCAGTCTCCTCAAACAATAACTTTAACAACAGTAGTGCTAATGGTGCTACTAATAGCATTGATATTAGTGGCAGTAATATTTCTAGTGATAATTCAAGCTTCTCGGTTGATAGGGACTGGATGTACCCCTCTTTCCTTGGGCCCCACGTGGCTAGAAATCGGGTCACGGTGAAGGGTAGCCGTGGTAATAATAAGGCGGATGTGGAGGTGGAGGAGAAGCAAAACACCGGAGCTGCCGCCTCTTATACTACTGCTAGTCATGATACTGATCAGGGGAGAGTGAAAGATGAGAACTTGTTGAAGGTAGATAACAATAATAATATTATTAAGGAAGTGAAAACAGCTGCTACTGCCGCTCAAGTTTTGGTGACTCAGTCTAGCGTCAACAGAAGCAGGGGACTCAAATCTTCTTTCATCTATTATTTGGTAATAATTACTGCCTTTTTTCTTTCTTTCTGTATAGTTGTTACTATGGTTTCTTAAAATGGAAATGAGTGGAAAAGTTTCTGGTTAATAATTTTTTTTTCAGGCAACCAAATAGCCAGAGAGCACTTATATTTCAACTTGATTTCTTGCTATTTTTGGCTTATATGTTGAATTGCAGTTCCTTTCTGGGTTTGCTTTGTTTTGATATTGCATTGCTGATAATTTCGTTGCTAATCTTCTATTGCAGCTTAATTTCACTTGTATAGTATCTGTGTCTTGTTCAATTTACTTGTGGGATAGAATCGCGAAACTGGAGGTATGTTTTATGTACATCTCTTGACAAGTTGAGTTATGGGTTCTTTCTGTTGAAATCTGTTTTTGTCTTAAACAATTTGGAATATGCTTGCCCAATTGCTGAAATATAAAAGGAAAGGTGAAATTCAAGAAGACTTGGGTATTCTGGTTCTCGAAAAGGGATGGTTTAGGAAATGGGGAAAAAAGTAAACAAATTCTTGTAAAATGTTCATGGTGACTGAAAACAGGACTGTGTGATTTCTGCTCATATGTTCGTAATTATGGTTCTTTTACTTGCAGGAAGAGAATATTGACCGCCGTACAGTGTGTTGCAATAAAGGTGGTGATGGTAATGACAGCAAGGGAGTTTTGCAGGCTGAAGACAACAGTTCGTTTTCTTTCGGAAATGCTGATAGTAGGACTGTTGCTTTTTATACTGTCATGTTCACACTCATCATGCCATTTGTGCTGTACAAATATCTTGATTATTTTCCCCAAATAAAGACACTCTCCAAAAGGACAGTGAATAACAAGGAGGAGGCTCCGCTGAAGAAGAGAATTGCATATATGGTGGATGTCTGCTTCTCTGTTTATCCTTATGCAAAGCTCCTTGCACTGCTCGTTGCGACCATCTTTCTTATAGGATTCGGTGGGTTAGCACTGTATGCTGTCAGTGATGGTAGCTTGGCCGAAGCCCTTTGGCTTTCATGGACATTCGTAGCTGATTCAGGAAATCATGCCGATAGGGTTGGCACTGGCCCAAGAATCGTTTCTGTCTCCATAAGTTCAGGAGGCATGCTAATATTTTGCATGATGCTTGGACTTGTCTCGGATGCTATCTCAGAAAAGGTAGATTCGCTGCGGAAAGGAAAGAGCGAAGTAATCGAAAAGAACCATATACTAATTCTTGGATGGAGTGACAAATTGGTAATTCATACATGCTACTTTGAACTCTCATTCACTGTTTCCATTGCATTTTCATTTTCAGTAACTAATGTGACTTGTGCATAAATCAAGAACTTGTGAAAAAGCAAGTGCTTAGCTTTCCAGGGAACTAAACATGATGCTATATTTTTTTTCAATAGGAAGGAACTACACATGATTTTGGCTGTTCAAGTTACTTGGAACATGAAAAATAGGACTGTTATGTCTCTTTTTTATATGTAAATTTCTTGGTTCTTAAAAACCGATTTGGCTGTAGTTTATTTCAGTGCTTGATAAGAAGTAGAGGTTTTTTGCTTTGGGTTCTATATTATATGTTTGCTTCTGCATCTATTCCATGTCTTGGAAGGTATCTATCTATATTGATGTTTCCCTTCCAGCCACAAACTGAGCCTTGTAAATGTTATGATGACAGTGCAAGAAGCTAAGGTGTTCTTTGAACTCTTCTTATACTGATATGAGAAGTTGGCCATGTAAATCTTATGATGATGATGATGCAAACTCATTTTAAGACTAAAGTGTTAAAGATGATGCATTGGTTGCAGGGCTCACTTTTGAAGCAACTAGCAATAGCAAACAAGAGTGTCGGTGGCGGTGTTATAGTTGTACTAGCAGAGAGAGACAAGGAAGAAATGGAGATGGATATAGGAAAGCTCGAATTTGACTTGATGGGAACTTCTGTTATATGCAGAAGTGGAAGTCCTCTTGTCCTGGCTGACTTAAAGAAAGTATGTTTAAGTGATTTTTGCTTCTTTTTTTTTTTTTTTTGCCTTTCGAAGTCTTTTTTTGTGGAATAATTTTTGCATTTTCATATTCGTAGGTTTCAGTATCGAAGGCACGTGCTATTATTGTTTTAGCATCTTATGAAAATGCAGATCAGGTTCTTTTCGTTCTCAATGTTGTTATGCAACTTCTGGACTTTTATGCTTCTCTGCAATAATTACAAAAAACTTCTGCATTTCCATTACCAGAGTGATGCGCGAGCCTTGAGAGTTGTTCTCAGCCTAACAGGAGTTAAAGAG